TCTCTCTCTCTCTCTCTCTCTCTCTCTCTCTCTCTCTCTCTCAATCTCTACGTTATACTCTTTCTAAAACTATATCCGTCAGCGTCACCCCCCTTCTGTCTATCTATCTGTCTGTCTATCTATTTGTTTTTCTTTCTGTCTATCTCTACCGCCTTCCTTATCAGTTTATACAAATTGTTCACCAGTTTTTTAATTCGTGCACCACATAAATTCTCTTTTTCTGAAGAGAAATTCATGAATCCGGGGGCGATTGTGAATTGCAATTGTCACATCTGTACGCGCTGGTAAAGTGCACACCACACACATAATACTAATACATTATTACAAAGCTCTCCAGTTGTGTTTACTTTGGACTGGTGTGCTGCACTGCTCGGCATTGGAGTTCAGTAGGGCTGGGCAATGAGTCGCTTTAGCAAAATGCGGATAATATGTTAGTGCACCTCTTCGACGATTAAATGTGTTATGAACCGCATCGGCAAATGGGTTAGACCATTTCAACAAATGGGTGCACCCACTTTCGGCAAACGGGTCAGAAAAGAGAGTTTAAGAGTCTGAATTCGGATAATGTTTCAATGGGAATTATCCGGTTATTCAGTTTTTGTCCACCGCTTGAGTTCAGCTGCATTAACAACTGAGGTATCTGTATAGGCCTACCAAACTGGTTATGCTGTATATCTATACAAAATATTATGCATACGTCGAGGAGAATACTAGACAAAATACGTGATCCTCGGCAACTCAAATATAGAATTCAAAATGTTCACCAAAAGGAGAGTGGCCTGAAAACTTTTAAAAGGAAAAAAAAGCTCTCGAATAAACACAAAAAGCCAGGTATACAGTATCTGTAACAATGACACATATACCGATGCACCCATTTTCGTCCTGCATCTTCGTGTCACCAACTGCTTTCGTCCTTTCCCTTGAGAGGTGTAACTCTCATGAAATTGAAAATGAATTTCACTTTATTTTCTATTGTTCACACTTTGTACATCAAAGGAAATTGTTAATCCCTCCCAGCCTGACTCGGTTCAGTGACAGAAATATGCATGTTTGTTTGTTTTTGTAAAGTGTTTTACGGCGCTCGCAACTGCATAAGGTCATATGAGAGCGTGGGACACACCTAATATTTTCAGTTGGTAGGAAATTTTGAATTTTAGACCTCCAAGGGATCTTTAACGTGCGCAACTTGCACACGAGTCCTCCGAGATTTTTCGCCCTTGTCCGAGAAGGCTAG